GAAAAGCAATTCCAATATCCATTTTCATAAAGGTTGTTATGAACAAACAGAATTTCAAAAACCTCAAAATCTTTCTATTTTTGAGTGCCTACAGAAATAGGGACGCATTTGAGAAATTACGGTTTTCTGTTAGGGTATATAATGTCCCAAACGGAGGTATATGACTAGTAATAGACGGTTCATCTAGTAAAAGTAGTAAACATTTGACATCTTTTAAGTACTCGTTCTGTGAGTACATAAAAGATGTCAAATTTACTTTGAAAGTAAAATCTAATCCCGATAGAATACAGTTGATGGTGTTCAAAATTCACGGTGAATTTTCCTCTAACGGGCAATAGTTCAGTTCAGTCATTGAAGCGGTACTTTTGATACAAACGACAATGACATTGACCAAATCGGTTCTCTGAAAGTATCAGGTCAAAGATCGTAAAACTGCATCTGCATTGTAAGAATCAGGTTTTATAACATCATATCGCCCACGGCATGGACTGTCTTATTCTGTGTTTTGCAATTTTGCGTTAGGTGGGTGAACAATTTTAAATACTTCAATATTAGATTAGTCTATAGTAAACTGAAAATCATTTATTTAAATAAAAACTTTAATAAAATTAAAACTAACTATTACTAAATTAACACAGTTATTGTCTATAGTTAGCGCATTATGACCTACTCCTATGTCGTGGTGGCCCGGAGCTTTAAGACGCCCGCCTCTCATGCATGAGGGTGCGGGTTCGAAACCTGCCAACGGCACGTACTAATGTGACTTTTTCCGAGTTATATGTATGTACTTTCTATGATTATATAGACACCACTGAAAAACGGTCAAGGAAAACATCGTGAGGAAACCTGGGCTTATAATTTCTTATTATAAATTTGTAATCACCGCATTGAGCAAGCGTGGTGATAAATACTCAAACCTTCTCCGTGTGAGAAGAGGCTTTGTTTAGCAGTGGGCATTTATAGGCTGTTGATGAAATGAACCTACTCCTAATCAGGACAGTCTGTATAAAATTTATAGGTAGGTCTCAGCTTGATGACTATAAGAATACGCAAATGCAATGTGTGGGTTCAATTTCTGCATAAAGGCACAAGCGGGATAAATTTTTGTATAATGTATACCTACCTAGTAGATTCAAAAAGTGTGCTGATGTTTAACCACAGAGCCACACGTCAAGAAAATTTTGCTAAAAATGTATAAAAAACACAAGTGTTGGGTACGTATGGGCTCTTTAAAACCCCGTTATCAGAGCTTCATCGTCTCTGTATCAAAAGAAGAAAAGCCTATGCCATTATTTTAATTCTCGTAATTAAGTTGAGTGTTTTAATTGTGATCATTTCGCCACTCGTAAACTATGCTGGAGTTTGGTGTCCTGTGGCCGACGGCTGTTTCTTTGTGGGTACGCGTCGGAATGAATCAGAGCTCAGCAGAGTTGTCACTAAAACTGTCTTTGTTTGACAATCAAAAATGTGAAATAAACCCCAATTAATTAAAAAAAAAAGAGTAAACGTCAAAAGAGACTAACTCTTATAATTGCATTTTTACATTTTGTTTGTATGTATATACATGTACTATCGGTTATATATGTTATTCTATTCTCAATTTTTCACACACACACACACACACACACACACACACACATATTCAGCTAAATTTATATTATTTATACAATTTCATGTTTATTTTTTGTCTTCATTGAGGGGCGGCACCGCCGTCCGTGAGTCACTGCAGGGTGCCACCTGAAAACCAGCGTTGGGCACAAACGTCCAACTATATGCTGAGGTGGAGGCCCTTTTGGCATTAGCACGCGCAAATTAAAATTAATATTATTATTTTGTTTATTAGATTTTTTTTATTGTTTATTCAAAATTCTGTATGTATTGTATGTATTCTGTAGATGTATTTTAATTTTTTTATATTCTTTGTTTTCTGTGCTTGTAATTGCCAAATAAATGATTTTTCTTTCTTTCTTTCTTTCTATGTGACAAGCACCTCATGATCGTCTATATGCCTCATTATTTATCACGCAAGCTCATCCCCATCAAATCGGATGACGTCACACGAACATATTCATTTGCATTCCCCCTGCACGCGACGCCACAAAAAATGGCCGACGCTAATGGCGTGCTTACAAGTGTTATGGATCGATGCTACAAAGGCACCGTTCGATTGTTCCGGCTCGTGGTTATTTACTTGCATTCGTAATAGGTGAGAGACGGGTGAAAGAGCATGAAATATCTTCATTTTACACCATCATGAAACAAAATATTTATGTTACAAAATATTTATATTATTATGTTTTCGGTTAACTCACGTAATTATTTGACGAGGAACTCGACTAGTTTCAATCCATGCTAGAGGCGGCGCGGCGACTATCGCGCTGCTACTCATAATAATATATTCAGTATGTCTCACGAAAGTTATAATACAAAATATTTAGACTAGACAGATTTATTTATTTATTTAAACTTTAATGTACCTACACAGAAACAAATGATGGTACATAAGGCGGACATTAATGCCATATGGCATTCTCTCCCAGTCAACCTTAGGGTTAAATAGAAAAAGTAAAATAGTTGTGTTTATTATTGTCAGGAGACGGTTCTTATGACAGAAAAAGGTCCTGAAAATCCTACGGGAACGGGAGAAAACGGGATTGCGCGTACGAAGTCGTGGGCAGAAGCTAGTTAACAAAAAATAAGGAACAATTAACATTAATAGACTTTATAAATATAGATACTAAAAATATTCAAAATGTATACTAAATTATGGTACAAACGACAGATCGAATTCTTGAATTTGATTCCGAGTAGTACCTAAATTATTATTTTTTCTGTGTTCTCATTGGACAGAGCAGACAGGTGTTTGGCAATAGGTTTGTTTTCGTATAATTCGTTTAAGTAGGACAGATGGCATAACTGTAATACACCCCAGTTTACCTTTCGGGAACGTCTATTTACGTACCATGTCGATGGGGTTTCTTAAATCGATCATATTAGTTCATTTAATTTAGTTGATAGTATAACTGCCATTAATTAAATTTTTAGTTTCTTACATACTTACGTACGTACTTACGTAACATCACGCCTTTTATTCCTAGGGTAGGCAGTGCACATTACGGCATTGCTAGTTTCTCAGGTGTTCATTTTAGAATTAAAATAAGACAACAGAATAACTTTAATTTATATTTTTATTTGTATCATAGTAAGGTAATTAAGTTTATCGTACATTCCATTAACATTTCTATGACTGACACGACACTTTGTGAATGTATTTATTTATTTATCTTCATCATAACTACGGCCCAGACTTTGTTAAGGCATGAGACTAGCAAGCAATGTGCAATCGTGATTGAAGCACCAGTTACCTGTATGGGAATTTTAAAATTGAATTCATAGTAAAATATTTTGTGACTGTCAGAATACCATTAAAACTGATTTTGTAGGAAACCCAAATATATAAATAGTGTGAACAGATTTACGGCCATTTTCTATAACCTATCTATCTGTAGATTTGCTTACTGAGATAAAATTTTGACGTAAGCTCCACACAAAGTCAAAATTCTATCTCAGTAAGCAAATCTACAGATAGATAGGTTATAGAAAATTACCATTAATTAATTAAAACCTTGATGTCAAAAAACCATTTTTGATTTCTGAATTTTTTATGACTGAAGACAAAAAAAACCGACTACTGTATAACATTTTGACTGTCGACAGTCACTTGAAGAAACTATCAACTCTGTATTTATATTTTGTTATGTATTTTCAATATATTCAACACGTTTAAATTACGAATCTTGACACGTTTTTGGTGACACCCCATTAGTGTCACGAAGTTCGTGACGCGGTGTATGTTTTCTTTGAATGCACGACTTTTGTTACCGTGGTGACACACTCCTTTGTTTCCATTGGTTTCTGATAGTCATCGAATTATTTAATAACACAATTGCGGCATCTAGTGTTTTATGAAGGTATGAAGTTTAACACTAGAAAGGCCGAGAATCGAAATGACCTGTTCTAGTAGTTCTAGTTCTAGGTAAATCATTATTTTATTTTGTAAGTATTTTTCTATAATAATTACATAAAGTCGCGGGTTATTCACGTGAATATACTGAAAAAAGCTATAGTAGTTTCGAACCACAAAGGGGTTCTTCCTCATGAGCAGCGTGCGCGGTCCCGACGATGTCGTGTAGTCTGTCAGTATATTTGTGAGTAACCCGCGATTTTTAGTTAATTTTTAACACATAACAGCCTTTTATCACCGAAGGGGTAGGCAGAGGTGCACATTATGCCACTGTACAATGTAACCTTCTTTTCACTATTTATGTTATGAGTCCCATGGTGAGAATTTAATAAGAAGTTAATTTTTAAATATTATTTTTTTCCAACTGAACACAATAATAATTATTTAAATACAATAAATAAAAGTCGACAAGTTTCACGCACCTAATTTTAAAAATAAAAAAGATATCAATTATCAAACTTGCAAATGGGACAAAATTGGGACGGCGGCCTTTCTAGTGTTAAAACATTTCCAGGGCTTACACTTCTTTCTTACAGTAAAATCGCTTTAAGCGCTAGTAATTTGTACAAAGTTGCACTTATTACCATAAAATAGTATTGATGGGAAGATTCAGGTGCGTCTTTATCCTAAATATTATTGCTGAGTGATTACATTAATATGCACTATATGAAGTTGGTGCGCTGGGCCAATCTGCTCCTACAGTAGTTTCACATAATTTAGTCTAGTACGTACGATATACTGTTAAACTAACACAATTCCATCACAATTACTTTAGAATATCAGTTGATTGTTTCGTTCAGCTTGTATTATGGGTAATGATCCTCTTTATAGGTACTTCTCTAAACAATTATTCTATCAACTTAAGGCTAGCATCGTTAATATTAAAATAGATTTGTTGATAAAATCTTTCAAGTTCATAACAAATAGACACCTTATGACAAATCAAAAGTGTGAATATTGTATAATATTTTATTTATTTATTTATTTATTTATGTAAGAATATAATTTAACTACTGTTTTTACTTCAATATAATATTTCTCAAAGGCTAACTGTGTAATAATTTCAATTAAAATTTAGATTTGACTAGAATTTATAATCAGTGCCTATAGGAAGTATAGCGTATAATGCAGTAATTTTAAATTTTATTAGCAATCTAACTCAATTGTTTTAGTAATGTTTGTCATTCTAGCGTATTTTGACAAACTTGTGTACTTTTATTATTATTGCCCAGAGATTTGTATAGATCGCATGGAACACGTCACCTGCGCGTCCATGAAACCTACGCGATAATATCTCGTGCGCTACGAATATGTTAATAAAACGTGGTTACAATACGTTACACGCAATTGTCAAAGCTTCCACCATGGTCTGACTACAGTTAATATAATATTTGAGCAAAATATTATCCACCCATAAATATACTAAAAACGTACCTATGCGACATTTTGCAATTCAATACATTTGACAATTGTCCGTAACGTAACATCAAAACGACTACGAAAACTGTCTTTTAACTTTACATTATTTACAAAGGCTAACCTCTTGGAATGCTATACTTCATGACATTTTAATATTTTCTACTATAACATAGTCTACTTTTTATTAGGCAAGGGACTTTGCACGTTTGTAGGCCGCCAGACGCCTTAAATTGTTTCTTATATTTAAAAACTACTTTGTAAGTCAATTTCTAATAAGAATATAATAATTTTAAACTTCCATAATTTTAATATTCATATATTAGGTATATTAGTCTAAATAAACGCTGTTTATTGCCTTTTCAATGTGTTCAAATAAAATAGAATACTTTTATATTTCAGTAGACTAACTTTGAATATCTATATTGGTCGGGTAAGATAGATAAATAAATATAATGATTTCAATATAGTTTCATATATTCCTAATCAATTGTCTATGAAATAGCTACAGAGATCTTTCCGAAAATAAATTATTTTATAAGGTAACTTATCAAGTATATGAAATTTATAATGTACGACGGCAGAAGTTTAGCACAATCCACTATTAGGAACTTTAACAAAACAGCATGTATTAGAATGTATGGCTTATATACATTATACAATACATGTAAGATTCAATAACGAAGCTATGATTCAAAATCTCCATAATATATTATAAAAAATACACGATAATATAACCGAATCTTCTATCTATATTAAATGTTTATAATAGATATACACAATATATTAAATATTCGACTTTGCAAATTAAAGAAGAAACCAATAAACATTGTGAAGATTCTCTCGAATGTCGAATGTGTTGTATATTATTATTTGTTTAATTTATTAATTTTGATAGAATGTTAAATGTCATGAAGGTACATTGACGAATTATGTTGGATAGAGATTCATATTTCTTGATTTAGTTTTTCTAAATATTTCGCCCGTAGCTCGGCATCGCCGACGGGGCGACTTGCACTTCTCCAGCTAGACCTGTTCCTTTGAGGCCTAGGGGTGAGCTTCATCCATATAATTGTTATATAATATTTGTTCACTGTGGGTTGGGTGGCCGTAGAACAGTGATACAAATAGAGCCTCTTAATATTCGCAGCAGGTCGATCACTTCTGGTGTCTTCATTGATGTCACGTTCTCATCGTTCACCTGGAAAAAAGTATTTTTTGTTAGGGCCCAAGTTAGTATTAGGTTTTAGTTATTATGTTGTTTAAAATAAAAGTTTTTGTGTAATTTGTACGTAACTACTATGAATCCAACTGCTTGCTTAGTTGGGGTAGTGGATATTCTCAAGAATAAAATCTTTTTTTATACTTGATATTTTGACATTTGGCCAAAATCTCGCCTGGTAATTAAAATCAATTATAGTTATTTATTTAAAATCTACGGCTTACGCACTCGAATTAATGGAAGTAAGCTCTACTAGTTTCGAGTAATACCGGGACCTTTTTTATACTTGATAGGTCAACGTTTAGCCACCACCACTCTTATTCATTAGCATGGTAGTGGAGCCTTCTTTCATTAATTCACGTATATTTCTATATAATTTTACCTGCAATATCACATCACCACGCCTCAGTCGGCCATCACGAGCAGCGACGCTGTCATTGTAGACCGCTGAGATGTAGCTTTGCCCCGACTCCGGATGACTCTGAACACTAAAACCCAACCGACTGTTCCAACCACGATTCAGTTCTACTGTTACGATCTGAAATGTGAGAAAAACATTGTTAGTAAATATACAAAATGGAAAATTAAATTCAATAGGGAACAATGTTGTTGGATTCTACTGGATATTGCAGTAGATTTTACAAAGGTCTAAAACATTTGGGGCCCTATTAGGGGGTTGTAGAATGCAAATGCTTGGCGATAAAAGGGACAGTGAAATTGTTTGAAAGGGTATTCTTTAAGACTTAAAAGGACTGCAATCTGACACGAGGTTACAATCTCAGCAATGGTAATTTCCTCATCCATAGCTTTCGCCATTTACGTACAAAACTTGTGGTAGTTACTAAGTGCACCATTTGTAATTATACATATTAGCTGGTTAACCTTATTGACCTTATGGTCTACTCAGGTTCCCAGGTTCTTCCCACTCCCAGGTTCTATAGCCACTTGAAAGATCATTGAGAAGGGCAAACTAACCGTAGGTTCATTACACGTGTCATCTATAGGCGGTTCAGGTTTGACGTTTTCTTTTTGGACGGGATCGGTTTCCTTGGGTTTGGGTTGGGGGGGAGGATCCGTCTTCACCTTACGCTCGTTGTCAGGCGACAACGCGACACCTTTCCATTTCTTCAAACCATTACCTGGAGAGAAAAATATTGATAATTGTTATATTGTGTTAAGATTTTGTTTGTAGGGTAGGTTACAATAACTAGATAGGCCTTCCATGTGGAACTATTTGCTCAAATGTGGGATCCATATAAGATTAATCAATAAAAATAGAGTTTAAGGTATAATAAATGATTAAATTCATATTTATGTTGGTACTCACCATCATCTTTGTGACCCTCTGAACTAGTAGTATGTCCGTCACTGCTGGTTGTGTGGAGTACAGCGCTTTGGTATGCTGGGTTTGCATGTTTGAACCGCGCTTCGTCACTCAGCAGCTCCACTGGCATTGACACTGGCTCGTCAGAGTCCACGGGGAACACCGGCTCTGGGTACCTCTGACGTGACATGTCTTCCTGGTACACGTTCGGAGCATCCAGAGTGTCGTTGTCCAAATTGTTTAACTCGTATCCATGGGGAGGCACTGGAATTCCACAAACAAATCATTTTACCAACTATTTTCATGATCACGAAAACTGTTAACAAATCGATTAGGTCTTATTTACTCCCTAAGCAGAAAATGATCTCTGAAATAGATTTGATTCAGATGACAGTTTCGCAATTTGTTAACAGTCTTCTTCATTAAATAAAGTTTCAACATTTATGAGTGCAAATGATAACGAAGTAGGAGATCACGCACATAAGGCTATACACAACACTCTTCGGGGTAATGTCACATGACCGAAGAACATCTATGAAGTGCTGTACGCTACAATGGTGTGTAAACATAGTCCAGGTATGGTTCGGAATCCGACAGTCAGTTTATACGCTGCTTTGGATCGAAGGTGTGAAGCGATGGGTTTATGATTGGACAGTGTGCGGCCGACAGTGTCTCACCTGTCAGGCTCAACTTTTGTTTTCTACAAGTGGGTGGTGCCGTGGGGCTGGCGAGGGACACAGTCCGCACCGGCCGCCTCGAGTCCTGAACCACTTCTCTATGTTCCGAACCGTGTTCTACTTTGTTGGAACTTGGAACATCTGCGTGGAAAACCTACATCGCTTAGTGTGTGGCGTGTATATTGTGTGATAAAGTGTTAAATGTGGTTAGCAAAGTTTTAGCAGCTCACTAGCTTTGTGCAGGCTTATTTAATCAGGGTATCCGGGATCCACCTGGGTGATAAATATACATCCATCTTGCTGTTTGCCATGGTAATGAGGATTAGTTAATGAACACAGAGCGGAGATAATTACGTTCATTTGTGCAAGGGCGCGTACCACGTAATGTGATTTCAGCGAGTCTACGTATTTCAGGTAATTAATAAGAAATTCAATTGTTAGATTTAATTGTATTACCTATGAGGTACACATGTATGTACGTATTACATTATAAGCATTTATAACCAAACAATTTGTATAATAGGGAATATCAAAATGAATACCGTCAGTTCGCAGATACCTATAAGCTTTAGGTTAAAATGAGCTCATATTAGTATACTTCAATCGATAATTCTGAAAATAGGTGTGGCGTCATGATTAGAAAAACCATTAGGGCTGCGGAAATTGACGTGTTATGGACAGTTAAGTGACAACGCTTTACCCACCGGGCAAAGGTTAGGTTCACCTTTAATCCATTTACGGCACTTTCGATCAGTTAATCACTTAACAAGTTTAACCTCTCAGTTTTGGGTTACAAACGTCAGAGCAAGCGACAACCCGAAACAAATGAAATTCGGTCACACTCTGAAAGTATTTCATTCGAAAGTTATCTGTTACTGTTTGCTATTTTCTCATTGGATTACGTATAAGATTAATTCAAAATTAGAAAACAATATAAATCAAATTCCCAAAAGGATCTTTTGATCAAGTCGTTAAGTCCTAATCTACCTTTACAAAATGTATCTACATAGCAATATATTGTTTAATGATGACGTCACATTAAACCAAGATGGTGGCTACATACCATTGGGCTGTTCGTAGTGGTTGTTGTCCTTGGTCAGCTTGCGGTACTTGCGGGGTGAGAGACAGGGTGATCGAGACCCGTCTGCCGCGTCAGGGGTGAGGCGCCGAGCGGCCAGGTCGCACAACATTGATACCGCTTCAGGCCTGATTGCATAAGTTTGCCTTTTCATTCTAGTTTCTTTATGAAATTCGGAGATGAGTTTCGAAGTTTAAACTAGGTTAACAATATAAATTGATGCTGGAGTACTGAGGAGCTTAACAGGATGCTTTTTTTTCAAGCATTATTGTGTAGATAGGGCCAACAAAATAAATATGTGTGTTACTTTTTGAAGTTAAGGATGAATTTAGAACATGACATTTAAGATCGATGCTTCGATGCGCTTTGATTCTAATTTGAACTGACTATAAAAGATATTTTAAAATTACTGAATTAAAAAATAATTAATAATTTAGAAGAGTTTTACCTTAGCGGGGGTTTAGGCCTATTCATAGGCGCGTCTGAATCGGTAGGCTCTTCTCTCGGTGACATTGGTGACAATGGGGTGGCTGCATGATCACGGTACAGGCGCAGGCGCACCTCGGAGCCACACGCTCGTAAGAACGCTACCGCCTCCGCGTGGGACATGTTAGACATCGCTGTGTCGTTCACCTGTACACAGGGGTTAATGACCGTCAGATGATAAATGCGGAATGTGAATAATGCTTTCGGTATGTGTTTGTGGAGCATTAGGTTTTTTAGATTGGGGTTTTACCAACTCTTTTCTCAGTGATCGCTCTTTGTAACGCCTAATTACATATAAAGCTGTTGCCCCTGAACCTCTGTTAACACTTTCCCTAAAAACGTTTTGCTACCACAACTTTCAGACACGTATATTCCATAGCAAGCATATGTGAATATGTAAAGTTTGAGGTTTCTATTTATTTAAGCGAGTAGCCACGACGTGAAACTATTATATTAAACTTGAAAGCAGATCCTAAACCCGTCTTGATGCTCAATTGCATAACAGAATCACTTTCGTTTACGGTTAATCAATATTCTACTGATCTAGTTACAGGATGGATTTTAAAAACATCCGGCTTATTAACATTGTCCGTTTTTTATTTGCCTTAACAAGTTAATGTTTGATAATAGTGTTGGACGGTTTCATTAAGTATATATTGAAGAGTAGAAGCAGAAACCAAGGGAACCTATTCAAATGATTAGAACTATTCTAATACATACAACAGAGATGGTGGCCAAACGCCATCCTGTTAAGTATGAAAAAGTCTTTTGGACATCTTATGTTGGATTGAAGTTACTGTAAATTGAATGCTCTATGGCGTCGTTTTTACGATCCTATTCTTCTTATACAGATGGATAAAAAGTATATCATTCTTTCTTCCGTATTTCATGATCATTTGTCCGTCAGTATATCTACGTTAATATCTTCTTTTATTTTGGGCAACGTAAATTAGGCAGACCTATAGTGCCATCGTTTCTTAATCATCCTAAACGAGTCGAAACATAATTCAAGTATTATTTGTACTTATTTTTGATATAATAATTTGGACAAAACATGTATTCTTTTTCAATGAATTTAGATTAATTACGATAATTGTATCAAATGAGAATTAAAATTTCCATGCACTTAACTTATTTAAAATTTCTACACCAGAAATGGTAGTATATGTGATTCCATATTTAATGTAAGACGTCAGTATACTATATACTTAGAAATTAATGTATCTTTATCTGTATGAGGAATCGGATTTGAGAACGAGTGTTCATAGTCATTACTAATAACACCACTCGATCGACATTTCGACAACAGTTGTCTTGTTTGAAATTCAAAATATTGCTATCGTCGCGATCACAACTTTGCAATTTATCGAATTGCCAATTTTGAGACAATAGCATCGTTCTACAAACAACATACCGAGCTCGTGATGTTTGTGTAAAACCGTTTCTTCATTAGTAGGACGCTGCTATTGATTCAAGTGTCTTCGGAGAACATTCACGATCGTTAGTCTACTTTCAGCTCGTTTAATTTTAATGAGTCATAAGTCAAGAATGACTGTATTATAGGTGCCTACTTATGCGTTTAATTATAAGTCTTTTGTTAAGCCAGGAACTAAAACATTTGCGAGTTTGCAACGGTTTCTCATAGCAAAAGAATAATGGGGGTGCTCGTGGAGTCTCTCATGCATTCTTTATTAAACTTGTTCAGAAGGAAGTATTCATAAACAGACTCTATGAATACCTTATAGTTGTCCTGTCGTCTCGGTGATGTGTATTATCATGGTCTTCTAAAAATGACTAAGTTTCTTTATTACTCAGCATATAATCTGGTAATATGCACAGTCTATGTTAGTATTATCGCCTTCTACAAATTACTTAGAACTTATAGCTGTGAGTAACATACCAATACATAACAATATTTTGTTAGAAGTCAGTTTTATTTACAGTAGGAGATCTTTGCCAGTACAGAAGTACCTGTTCTCCATCTTCTCTAATATACTTACAGCAACAATCCTATCGCCAGGTTGTATCCTCCCATCACTAAGTGCTGGTTCCCTCACCAGAGCTCTGACGTAATGCCCCAATGCGCTGTGGTCCTCCTTCCGAAGCGTAAAGCCCAAAGAACCGTTCACTTTGGTCATTATTATATCGAACTCCTGAAAATAAACGTTTTTGATTAATAGTGAACGTGGGTAGCGATTATGAATATTGGGGCGAACAAATGTCTATTTTTAAATATTTGCGACGCAAAAAGAATTGAATCAAAATTTGTAATTTTTTTATATTAAACTTGTATTATAGCCTTTCATTGTCTCTATGTATGCATGACGTAATAATACATAGTATCTTATTTACACGATTTGTGAGTTTATAACATTTGCAGTCAAAGAGTTTTACTACCAAACAATACTAACTAAAGTTTTACTCATACCTATCCCAAATAGCTTTCTAAAATATCCTCAGCGTAGTATTAGTTAAATTCCTGCTATAAGGAAACTATTGCCAAAACAACATTAACTCAGCCTCTTCGCTATGCAAGCGGAACTAGTGTGACGTCTAGGTATAATCGTCTGTCAGTCACCGTGCCAAATGCTTGGCACTCAACGCATGCAACTTGCGTCACTGTACTCAGTGTTCCATACAAAACGTGACAAAGGGCGCTAAACTTAACATCTTTACTCTCATGCTCTCCTGGTACATCGATACATAATTTACTTTGATCGGAATACATTTACGATGTTTTCCTCTTTGCCAATCAGTCTTAGTTTCGATGGCCGAAAATAGCTAAATTGTAGCTCGGTTATTTTCTTATAGGAGACCTATTAATGGATCCGTTTTATCAAATCCTACTATTTATGGATGTATCCATTAAATCTACTTGGTATGTATTTTAATTCTCGTAACAGAATTACAACATCCGATTTAACACCGGGATTTGAGCGTTGGCACTCTGTAGCAGGCTTATAACAGCTCCACTGCGTATAAATTAAATTTCCATAATACAACATTAGTTAAAACGAACTTACCACTGATCCGTCATCCTGTAGGCGTGAACAAAGAGCTTTATTAATAACTCGCACAGATTATATTACTGAGTCGTACTCGCATACCGGTGAAATTATACCTCATTAAATATAACGCCTGTTAACAAATGGCTCGCCTTACAAAATGGGGTCTCACGATTATAAGGTTCGGGTATTTTGATCCTTAAATTACCCACCGTACTATATTTTAAACTAAGCTTTAATTACTCGTGGAAAAATATGATGGTTAATCCATCAGCTGGTAACGCCTGAACATGTATTAAAACACGTAGCTACTACCAACGTTAATGGATAAATAACAAGAAAATTAAACTGGATGAAAATTAAAACATAAATCACAAATGCAATTAAAAAGTAGACTTCGTGACCATATCTCGGGTAGAAAGAAACGGAAATTACCAGTAATTTATTTTGAAGGTGACTCCACCAGAGCAGTACTAAGAATTTCATGGTGGTTTCTCTATATACGGTAATGAGTCTGGTTAATACTGAAGATTTGCTATTGAAGGATAAACTGTTGGAAGTTACAGTTTATGAATTTATTTATATTCTTGTAGCGTGTTCGCTACGTAAAAATGCGATAAAATGAATTAGTGTCAGATACAGTAAATTAGCCTCAACGAGAAACCCGGAAATAAATCGTTTGATCGTTAGAAAAGGAACAAGAAAAAGTGCTCATAATTTTTCTATTCTCGCGATAAGCTCGGTTCCACCTGAGTAAATATTTGTTTCGTTGCAGTATATAATCCGAGACATTTAAGGCGCTTTTAGGATATGGATGCTATAAGTACAGCTGCTGCTTAGTGAAATGTTCTCACATAAAGGAAACAGCTTTCATTCGGAGACAAAGAAACAGTTCACGGTTATAAAATATTTCATGTTATTTTATTGATGCAATACTTAGATGCAAATTTTCTAAAATAAAAGTCAAATTGTCCTCACCCCGTATTGCACGTCGTAAACTGGCAGTGGTCGGTCGAGGTCCGGCAGTCGCAGGTCGCGTCGGTCGGGCTCCGGGCTCGCCTCGCGTCGCCCGCGCCCCTCCGACGACGACGTGGTCGCGCTGCTCGTCGTCTGAGACAGTCTGGACACAACAAATGTTAAAGGTCATCTTTCACTGCTATCTATATCAGATCTCTCTGACTACAGATTGTATTTAAATGCCGTAGATCTAAGTCTAGTGATACAGCATAGAGTACGTACAGTATAGTACATACTCGTCTGTACAGGCTTCGTCAGTTAACATCCGATTTTGCGATACAATGAGATGGGAACTCGGATAACGTGATGTGGTTACTGACGTTCATGTCTCCTCACCTATACATTTGTAATCTCCAGGTACACGTACCGAGGTTGTTTGTCTGTCCTTAATGACACGAGGTATTGTACGATAACATTCATGCCACACAGAAATCTGTGTGGCTCCAGACCGTGTTTGGTTTATTTATCATGCACGACATGAGTGACCTTAGAGCGTGGGATGATCGAGGGGACAAATTACGCGAGCGTGACGTGTTATGGTTGCTCAGTGTAATGAGTGTTTACCTGGCATGCATAGGGTGACAGTTGAGGGGGTCTAGCGGCGGGAGGTGGGGCGGGTGTGGGGTGCGGGCCGGCGGTGTCGGCGGCTCCGGCGGCGTGACGCTGTCGAGCACGTCTGCTGGCGGCCGACACACGCGCAGCTCCACCCGAGGCAACGCCGTCCGAAGCACCTCGAGGGCTTCCTAGTATTAAACACACGGATTAATTGTTGCCGGATTACTGCTTAAAAGTCTGATAGCCTGACACTTCATTTCAAAGACGTATCGTGTTTCAAAACCCTGGACATCTGACCTTTCCAATGCCAGTTTTGTTTGTTGCCACAGTTTTGATATAGCTATACCTATCAAGTATTCAAAGTATAACATACTGGATTTTATAACTTTTAAATATTTTAATCTGATGAACGTTTAATTGCTAACAAAACCTTCTTCACTTTTAATTTAAAATTAACATTTTAGACAAGTACTTTTGTTGTATTTGAACTATGTAAGTATTTACATACTTGAGTTCTGAATACCAAATTCATGTCTTTACCATATTGAAATCGCGTAGAATCAAAAAAATTGGGAACTTTGAGAAAACCAGAATAATGTTAGTAAATATAATAAACCATTTAAATACTTTTCTAATAAAAGTTTCGTAATACTGATGGCACATAGCATTTTATGGATTACCTATGATATGTTTGTTATACCGCAATCACCGTGCAAAACACAATTGTCTCTATGACCTTCTACCATAAAAAGTCCACAAGCGAAAACAAAATTAAAAAACAAAAACATTTTCAGTCCGTGGTTTTGTAATTCTGTCTGAGCCTTTGGAACTAAGAAAGTAACCACAAGTTGCGAACCAAAGCAATACCGACGAAAATAGCTCGGTACCGGCGCGCCCGGCGCCCCCGCTGTCACCGATAAAGGGAACTCGAAGGGAATTAATTTCCCGAACGAAACAGAGTTAATGGCCCATTTATTTATTGTAAGTTTTGAATTCGGTTTGCTTACGGAATCGCTTTGATACGCGCGTGATTTAGCAGCATTTGTAATTTTCAGAGGTTATTCCTCAAAACGACAAATGCTGTACAAATGAGATTATTTTTCATCGCGCGGTATAGCAGCAGTCTAATATAATTTGGTGTGACTTTGCGGCAGACATTTTACAGTTTATTACATTTGAACCCGAGGCCTCGGCGCGGACCGCGTTGGAGTTTTCATAAAAGTTTTTACGTTTATAACCCAGGCTCCGGAGCGAGGGAAGTGCTGCGACAACAAATGGCATTTTTAACATGACTTACTGTTTATTTTTGTAAGCACGAGACCCTGTTTTATGTTTGTACCTTCATAACAGCTATGCAAGCAGTGCTTTGTAAAGGGCAAAGCAACACACTTAAATTTCATAGGCTCTGTTGTAATGAATATAAAATGTTGGCCGTGCACTCGCAAATAACACTGGTAAAGGTAGTCCTAAAGATAAGAAAAAATGCGCAATATGCTAACATTATTTGGGAAAATTTATTGGTGCTTGGACTTTAGCTGCCAAAGATAAAGAAGAAACGTATTTCTGTGTATAATCAAGTTTAAGGTGGTATGCAGTCGAGTTATGAGATTGTTTTAGTACCGTTAAACTTTTACGGGGGTTTTATGTACTTACGTAGGTGCTAAGTCCGGCAAGGGGAACTCCGTTGGCAGATAGGAGTAGGTCTTTGGGAGCAAGTCTGCCAGTCCTCCACGCTGGTTGAGGGGGGTAAAGTCTTCGTATCCTCACTAGGCCACCTCCGCCGCATACTGACATTCCCAGACCACGGCCATCTTTTTCAACTACTACTGTGAAGGAGTTTTCTGTTGACAAAAAAAGGAATGGTTCTCAAGGGCATGTTTTAAAATGAGACCCTAAAGTACAATTTAATCAATTAGAGCAGAGGATTCATCTCATAACTAGACAACCGAAACTTAAAATATCTTCGTTGTACCTTTACGTGAACAAACGTGGTGTGTTGTCAAGATTCTGTTTATGTTGAGGTGCGGTATGTCGAGAGGCGCTCGCTCCATCACTAGTAGTAAACTTGAGATCCGAATTCTGTTACGAGCCCGTTTTACAGCTTATTTACACTTAAAGGCTGATGTTGCATCCGAGATGTGAGGAAATAGTGTCGTACTCTTGAGGATTACGTTAATCTCAAGTAGAGCCGTCCAAATAAGAAGAAAGTTATTAACTTGTTAAAGTTTCCACAGCGTAGAACCAATAGTAGACTGATGACTGTAAAGACCTTTTCATTGAAAACATTCTAGATTATAACGTAGCTAGATTGTAGTTTCTGATATTATTATAGTAATAAAAATGTAATTTAGTTAATACCGGCTCACGCTTATGAACTGGGATTTATACAAAATTAATATTTGTTTTGTGCCGAATAATTGCCTATATTGTGAAGACCGCTTTAGGCGGACCCAAAAGAGACCAGGTGTTTTCATTATACACAAAGCAAACGAAAGTAAGTACGGCCAGTTTGGGCACATACATTGTTTATTCAGTACTTTTGGACGTGTATAAGTCCAGATTAAGCCTATATTTGGAATATAAATTATGTATAACAATCCAAAATATACAACTCTCCAATAATTGATATAGATGCCCCAATATTGCAAATGAGAGGTAGACAACTGTCGATCTACGGTCAATTTAAGTCCCTTTTAGGTCCAAAATGGACGTTAGAGTGTGTCCGACATGAATTATGCATTAGGGGAGTCCATAGCAACAATTTGGACCGGGAACGATTTCATTTATTCTGTTTTATGAGCTGCTACTGATGTAGTTCAATTTCAATGTTTTTGGAAAACACTTACAGAAATGAGACATTTTAGTATTATATCTATAAACATGAGAGTAGTTATGTACTATTACGTGATGAAAATTCTTTCCCGAAGCCTTTGCTTAGTTAAGTGGCCAACAATATCGGACTTCAAGTATGGGAGAGCCATGCTTCGGCACGAATCGGCCGGCTCGACCGGAGTGATACCACGGCCTCACAGAAAACCGACGTGAAGCAAAGCTTGCGTTGTGTTTCGTCGTGTGAGTAATTACCCTCCCGTTCCCTGATCTCCCAAATTCCTGAATCCCCAACGACCCTCAAACTCCTAATCCCCAAAAGGCCGGTAACGCACTTGTAACGCCTCTGGTGTTCCAGGTGTCTATGGGCCACGCCGATTGCTTACCATCAGGTGATCCGTCTGCTCGTTGACCGGCTTATGCCATAAAAAAACTTGACCAAATGTGATCATACGTTGGCATTTAACCGCAAAAGACGCAAAATAAATCTACTCTCTCTAACAGATTTTCAGCAAGAAATACACCATATCTGCAGAAATAGAAAGAACAACAAACAAGGAAAAAGGTCGCTAGAATATTAAATTTGTCTTTGAAAAACAAAACCAAAGGTTGAGACGTAAATAGATTCATTTGTCCGTTTGATGCTCATTCGGTATAAGTAGTTACTACCTCCAAGGTGTCCCATTTGACATGATTTGTTTAACATTCCAATATAATTAATATGCTGACATTTAATATGTGTAAGCGGCTGCGTGCCATAGGTTTAATTCACTAATGTTATGGTACACACGGCCACACATCAATCTATACAAAACTAGTTTATCCTGGTATCGCGTCGCATCATCTTTCCGCACATTTAACGTTCAGTTTATACTGGTTATGTAAAGCTCGATGTGTAGCCGTGTGTACTGCTGACTATAAATAAAATAACTGTTGTGTACCTGCCACGTATAACCATTTACTCGTAACTTATACCTTGAGTAATGAGCGTTAATGAATTTTGTTTTAAATGTAAATAGACTGCCTCGTTGGCCGAGTGGTCGCAAGTGCGACTGCCGGGCAAAGCGGGCGGGCAAATTATTACTGGGTTTAAAAAAAAATCTCAGTGGTAGCACGGAGTCTGGAATTGTGCACGGTGTATGCAATAGGCTCACTCGGCTCCCTATTACATGGGACTCATGACATAAAATAGTGAAAAGTGGGTGTTGTAATGTGCACCGCTGCCTATCCCTTCGGGGATAAAAGGCGTGATGTTATGTAAATAGATATTTAACCCCTCGAGCTTCCTTATGAGCACCCGGTGGATCATAAGAAAAAATGCTGAATGCTGCTTTCTCTTTTACAAAATCTATTATTAATGTATTATTTTTATTTTGACTGTATTTTTTATTTCTATTGTAATGATCCTTGTTTTCGTGTGCCAATGGCCAAATAAATGCATTTTCTTTTTTTATTTCTTTCTCTCTCCAAATGTCACGTGTGCACCCGTTGGATCATAATTAACGCGGACGCTCGACGGGTTAAAGCCCTAAGTCTTAAGTTGAGTGGGTTTAAGCTAATTGTAGACTATGAAGGCCTTAATATCTTTATATCGAAATACACATCTGGAAAATTCCAGTTCTAAAATTGTCAGTGTGGTGACTATAATATAAATAGTTACCTACAAGGGGCAAAATTTACATTATTAACTCGTTGAGTACCGTATTTATAGACACAATTAAAGAACAATAGGTTGCGGTCACCGGTGACCGCTTGGTGTTTGACAATTTAAGGAGAGGTGAAGTTCCTAAGTGAATACATTTTCAAGTACTTACCTATCTTATTTTTCCAGGTTAGTATGTACATACTTTTGAATTGTTAAATTGTAATATTATGTATAAAATATAGCCTTATAAACCTATATTTTTACTACACAAGCGGATTAAATTAAGGTCACATGGGCCACAGGAGAAACATATATTTGAATCATTAGGGTTTTGCTAAATAACTCAAACGGTCATTAGGTAATGCTGTCGTCTAATGAATTTATTTGGAATTCATTACTGAAATGTTAGGTTTCCAGTTTAAAATTATATCATTAACATAATATAACATAACATCACGCCTTTTATTCCCGAAGGGGTAGGCAGAGGTGCACATTATGCTACTGTACAAAGTAACACACACTTTTCACTATTTATGTTATGAGTCTCATGTAATAGGGGGTGAGCCTATTGCCATATAACAGAATTCCAGACTCCGTGCTACTACTGAGTTTTTTTTTTAAATCTAGTAAATCTTTGCCCGACCCGGGAATCGAACCCAGGACCCCTTGCCCGGCAGTGGCACTTGCAACCACTCGGCCAACGAGGCAGTATATCATTAATTATATTGTTTAAATTGTAACTTAGCCTACATGTGACCTAATTCTGTACTACTTACGAACGTAACAATATAATTTTTCTAGCCGTATACATACCGCCCTGAGGACACGGTGGAACACACGGTGGGAGAATGCCCTTCGTGGGCTGAGCACCGCCGTGTCCTCAGGGAAGTGATCGGCGATGGCGACCTCTCGCGTCCGGGCCTAGTGCAGGCCATGATGCGGAGCGAGGGGGATTGGGATGCCGTCTCCTCCTTTTGCGAAGCAGTCATGCTAGCTAAGGAGGAGGCGGGACGCGTGAGGCAGCGAAGCGCTGCCTCCTCGCAACCCAGCCATCGCGAAGGACACACCGGGCGTCGGGGATCGCGGGACGATCTCCGGCCACCGTGAGCGCGGGCCTGCGGACGGCGAGCATGGGTGGCTCCCCGTCCGACCAGAAACAGACCCGAGCGTACGGCGCGTCGCGTTCCGCGCGCGCCTCAAAGAGCCATCAGACCACCACAGATGGGGTCCAATAGGGCCGATGCCGATTCGGAGTCGCGGAGAACCTAACGGGTAACCGGGGCTCCGGCTCGACGTGCAGGAGAAGGAACGGGGTGGTTTTTAGTCAGTAAGAGTCTGACACTCCCTCCCGCCTCACCCAGGCGGGGGCAGTCATTCGATGATTTTCCCCCCTTAAAAAAAAAAAAAAAAAAAAAAAAAAGCCGTATACATACCTATTGAGTTACTTCTGAGAAGTTTATGATTTACCAGAATTCACATAAAATTATTGCTTTATTTGCCTATGTTAACCGAAATGCGTCAACTCTGACCTTTTGTTTGGTACAGGCTGGTGGGACAAACGTCGATGACGTCATTCATAGCTAACACGGTGATCAAAATCAATAATGTTGCATTCCTGCCCCCAAGAGACTGTCAAACTATCGAGTTATGCGGCACTGAATACCTGCTTAGGACACATACCTAATAGTTATGGATGTTGTATCTATAACTTAGTATAAGCTGCTATAGAAGCCATCCTTCATGACAGTAGTATTTAGAACTATATTTGAAGAGATTCAAATATTGTCTTTTATATAGTTTTCTGTCTAAAAATCACGGTAATGGTCCTTTTTTTTCAAGTACATAGATTGTTATGGGTTGTTAGTAATGATAGTGATAGCCATTATGTTTTTGTCATTTAAATGTCTGTCCTCTATTATAAATCTTTCTTTCCTATGCTTCTTACAATTATAGGAGAGCCAAGCTTTGACACGCTTGGGCCGGCTCGACCGGAGTGATACCTCGGCCTCACAGAAAACCGACGTGAAATAATACTATTTTTCTTAAGGGGGTAAAATCATCGAATGACTTCTGCCGCCTGGGTGACGCCGAAGGGAGTGTCAGACTCTTACTGACTAAAGACCACCCCGTTCCTAATCCTACCCTTCGAGCCGGAGCCCCGGTAACCCGTTAAGTCCTCCGCGGCTCCGTATCGGCATCAGCCCTATTGGGCTTCATGCGTGGTGGTTTGATGGCTCTTATAGGCGCGCGCAGAACGCTGTGATTGGTTGATTCATTGGCGCCGGCCAATCCGTGCGCCGAACGCGTTCTCGTTTCGAATACTTTAAACGTAAAACAAACTCGTACTAAGGCCTCAGGTCTGGTTCG